CTCCGACTCTCTAGCACGCCAGACCGCATTCCAACTGACGTAGGAGTAGGTTCCGCTAGAGAAGGAAGCTCAATCACCAGAACCGTGACTAGCATGGAGTGGGGCGGGAGGGTAAACCGCCATCAACTGAGAGGGCTGTGAGGACATCAGCATCTTCATGGAGCGACTGAAGTACTTGTTAAAACAAGAAGGGATTGGATTGTCCAGGGAATAGTGTGAAAAGAGAAGGGATTGTGCTCGCGATGGCCAGAGGGACCCAGAGAATAGAGGAGGATTTCAAAAACTGAGAAACGAGGCCGATGAGGAGAGGGACAGAGACGTGGGGAAGCTGGAACTCAGGTTTTTCCAGGTGACCTGGGTGTCTGGGCCGCCTTTTGGTGGTTGTAGTAACCAAGGATGGCGGATGCTTGATCTCCACAGCAGAATCTGATGGTGTGACCATCAGGTTTGTGAGGTGGAAGGGAGCAGGTTGCGGCCCTTCCTATGAACAGGCTCCGTATTTCTAATGTTTTGTACAGTCTGACTCTAAAGGCCTAGATCATTTCCCCATCTGATTTCCTTTCATGCTAAAGATCATCTTGACTCAGAAGTGAGAAGAAAAGTTAATGATCTGTTTTGCTCAGAACCCTTTTTATTGCTCTTGATCTTGAGTTGCCTCAGCGTCAGGAGGCCGTGGCTGTAGCCCCAGGATTTTTGTGGTGGAAAAAGAGCCATTAAGTTTTCTTATCTGTCAGATGTGTCTAACCATTTCCTCATGTACAACCACTTCATGGGAAATTTGCACTAATTAAAATGTTACAGTAATGCAGAAAGGTTTACTTAACACGTCACACAGTACTTAATAGAAGTGTATCATTTGCTATTAAGTGGTAAGTGCTGATTTTCAGCTGCCGTCTGGCTCTGTTCTTTATTGTCGTTGTGTGTTTTGGTTTTTGTGCCCTTATTCCTACTAGTAGTCTGCTGGTCCTACAGCTCTCAGTTCTGTTCTCCCTGTCTCTCCTCATGCTCCCACACGTCTACCTTAATGTCTTCCCCCTGCCTAGTCCTTGTGGTCTGGCATCTGTTCTCAGTTCGGCTCCCTTTGCGGCATTACATTCCAGGGAACTCTTGAGTAGGAGCAAGGCAACCCTCACTGCATGCATTTGAACAGGTGGGAACAGGGAGTCCTTCATTATAAGATAAGATTAGCCACTAACGTGTATTGGAGTGACAGCGGGCAGAGCAGACTGTGAAGGAGCCAGTCATTTGAACAGGAAGGGGCTGGGCCACAGAACCATGTAGAGAGACAAATAGGGACATGTTCTAGTCCCGTTGCTGTGCCCATATTGCCTCCCACTGTTACCGCCCCAGTTGAAAACAGTGGCCTTCTGCATAAGCGCTTTCTGTGGGGCAGGCTTTGGGCGGGGTAGTGGGAGCAGGGCAGGGGAGAGGTCTTCAGCCACAGGTTGGTCATCCACAGATTCTGCATCCACAGATTCACCAACTGCATTGCATGTATCGGAAGTGTTAGTCTATCCTAAACAAGGTACAGACTATTGTTATTATTTCCTGCGCAACACAGTATGAGAAGTATTTTTTTCAGCATTTACATTTACATCAGGGTTTATAAGTCATCTATATACAACTTAAAGGGTATCTAACCTCTTGACATTGTCACAGGACATTGTGATCTACACATGTGTGGCCTGCATTTATAATTGTCTTAAGGGGCGTGTGGCCAGACCTGATCTAAAATATCTAGGCAGGTACTAGAGAGATGGCTCGGTGGTTATTCTTTCAGAGGACCTGGGTTCAATTCCCAGGACCCGTACTGGGTCGCTCATAGACACGTCTAGCTCTATTTCTAGAAGATCTGGTGCCCTCCTAGCCTCTGGGGCACTGCACGTGTACACTCAGACATACACATATACACATAAAATAAATAAAGGAATTAGTAATTAAAGGGAGCTGGAGAGATTGTTAAGTGATTAAGGGCACACTGATGCTCTTCCAGAGGACTCAAGTTCAATTCCCAGAACCCACATGGCAACTCACAACCACATATAACTCCAGTTCCAGGGGATCATATGACCTCTTCTGACCTTTATGGGTACTGCATGCTCATGGTGCACAGACATACATGCAGGCAAAACACCCATACACATAAAGTAAAAGTAAAATTTAAAAAATGGAATAGAAACTCCCCCTACGCCTAAAATGCCTAGGCAGATGTTTATAGGTTATACACAAGGGCTACATTACTTTTTTGTTAGAGACTTGAACATCAGATTTTGGAATATGGTAGTTGGATTTTGGAACCAGTCCCCCAAAGATACTGAGTGAAGACTGGCTATATATTGCCCGAGATTATCCATTTGAGATCAGGCTGCATGCATTTGAATCCTGCCTCCATAATGAGCTGTAAGTTATCTAACCTTTCCGAGTCCCAGTTTCTTATCTGTAAAATGGAGATAGTTGAAAAAAAAATTTTTTTTTAAATAATAGTAGTTCCTGGCCCACAAGAAGCACTATACAAGTCTTACATTTAAAAAAAAAATATGAACCCATCTTAGAACACCACAATTATTTCCATTTTATTAATGCCAGCGATAGAGTGGAGAGGTAGCAGAGTCAAATCCAGAAAACAGGCAAAGCAGGCTTGAAAAGCTTAAAGCTGCTGTGCCCAGCCACGTGCCAGGCCATGCGGGTGGGTGCTTTGCTTTCTCGGGGGGCTCTGCAGGAGGTGTGGACACCTGAGTACAGGGTACAGGTGGACAGCGGAACTGCATGGTGGTTCACAGGGACTGCTGGACACATGACCTTGATCTGGCTTTGTGCCCCATGCTATGGGACAGTAGCCTGGCCTTAGGCTCATTTTGGAGAGTGGTCCGTGTTGTGCCTGTACCCAGAGAGCTGAACCTTCCTGGGATACTTTCTCCCTGTCTAGTATTGGGTGGCTTCATTGAAATCATTCAAAGGTGAGAGACTGAATAGCTTATGGCATAAAAACATTTGAAAAGCATAAAATAATGCCCCAATTAGAACCACTATAGTCATTCTTAACCATATCAGTTAGGTTCACATCGGAGCCTCTTAGGCCACCATACCAGCCTTCTGCTAGTGATACCGTGTGACAGATGGCATAACCAGTTGTAGCGTGTTCTGCAGACTGGCGTGGAACCGTTTCTTCTTTTCTGGGTTTAGACATTCCTCTGTGAACATAAACTAGTAGCTGTGTATCATCTCGACCCCTGGTAAATTTTCCTTCAGTGTGGAATTCCGCAGTCAAGAGCCAGAGCCATTGTCTGTGTCCAGGGTCCATTGCTGGCCCGGCTACCATTCTGGGAGCGCTGCCAGGTCCTGGTTTCAGCTCTTGGCACAAGGCGGCCTTGGCCGGCCTCATATGCATTGGGTGCCTCTAACCGTTCCCTCTCATTAGCACACGGTCCTGATCCTGTGCTTGCACTGAAGGGGGCAGGAAAGCAGCTGACACCTTCCCTGGAGTTCTTGTCTCCGGGGCTTGCTTTGGAGTCTGTATACATCACGCACGCATGCACGCACGCACGCACGCACCCACGCACGTACGCACGCACGCATGCGTACATGCACAAGTACGCTAAGGGTTGAGCTAAGGGTTGAGAATTTGCTTTAGATGAACGGCCTGGCAAAATTCATTTTTCTCCAGAGTTGACAGTCCAGCACTGAGTTTTGTTTTGTTTTGTCTTTTGTTTTTGTTTGTTTGCTTTTTGCATCTTGGTCTTTCAAAAAATTAATTCCTGGAGGATTTCATACAGCATATCTTTATCATATTCTTTCTCATCCTCTCAGCACTTCTGTCTGGAGGGAGACAGAAAAGGGGTGAGAGAGTATTGGATGTGGGGAGGGCAAGGAAGGTCTTCTTGGAAAACTGTGTCACAATTGGCCCAGCTCTAGAATAAGGTAAACCCTCAACAAGCACCCAAGTATCCCACGGAGAAACTCATTATTCTTGGATCTGGACTTGTCCACACCGAGAACTCCTTTTTTTTTCACATTTGGAATATGAGTTTAATAAATCCTCCATTGAGGCTGGAGAGATGGCTCAGAGGTTAAAAGCACTGGGTGCTGCTCTTCCAGAGGTCCTGAGTTCAATTCCCAGCAGCCACATGGTGGCTCACAACCATCTGTAATGAGATCTGGTGTCCTCTTCTGGCCTGCAGGCATACATGCAGGCAGAATACTATACATAATAAAAATAAATAAATCTTTTAAAAAAATTTTTAAAAATCCTCCATTGAATGTTCTTGTCAAATGAGGAGTAAACTTTTAAATCCTCTGCTGTCTGCTTTCCAGGAGTGGGACTATAGGGACTATAAGGTTGTTCCTTCAGATGTATTCTGCAGAGTATTATTATTTTTAATGCAGTATTACATGTATATTTATATTTGAGACAGGGTTTCTTTGGTGGCCTTGGCTGTTCCAGAACTCACTCTGTAGACCAGGCTGGCCTTGAACTCACAGAGATCTGCCTGTCTCTACTTCTCGAGTACTGGGATGAAAGGCGTGTGCCACCACAGCCTGGCAGAAATATGTTTTTCTGAAAGGAACACTTGAGAAAGCATTGTAATCACATCTCGGCCTTTTGGCTAAGATCACGTGGAGAAAGCGTTATATAAGCCGTGTTAAAGTAGCTCCCGCCTTTGCAGAAACCACTGAAGTCCGTCTCGTCATTCACCAGTGGTCTTCATGGTGAATCTCTCTCTGAGTGGATACATTGCTATATGCAACATCCGTTCAATTTTAATGCACTTTTTCCGGTAGAGTGTTTTCCCTGTACCATCTCTGTAAAATACAGCTTGGAACATGCCAATTGAGAGAAGAAAGTTCATTCATTTCATTCTTTTTTCCTTGAATTGTGAAGGGAGGGGAATGGATGAAATGTCAAGGTTGCCGCCACCTTGTGGGTCCTAAAGGCTAAGGGGTGTCTAGCAGAGTCTAATAGGCCACCTGTTCTGAAATGTCTCTCTATCTTTTCCCCACAGCTCCCCTTTGAACTGGAGATTTACTACATCCAGCATGTTATGCTCTACGTGGTCCCCATATACCTGCTTTGGAAAGGAGGTAAGGCCAGCAAATCACACACCTCTGGAATCTCCACACCTTCCCTTTCTCTCTGTTTGGAGGAGTCACACGCTCTTGGGTGCCCACCAGGATCTTGGGGGTGCTGCTTGGCTGACTATCTACAGCATGCTTAATGTCGGTCCCTAGGCGCTGGGGTAGTGGGCATGAAAGAGGTCTGCAAGGAGTCTGGAGGCTGTTCAAAGCATCCCTTGTAGGTGAGCATGGTACCGCTGACTGCCTGACCCAGAACCTAGGTTTGGGGTTCTTGGTGGTGGCCTGGGGTTTGCATGGCACCCAGCACACCGTGTCGTTCTTGTGCTTCTGCCTCCCCTGCGCCAGTGTGCACTTCAGAGTCCTCCATCCTATCAAGAGACTTCGAATTCTTGTATCCACGGTCTCAGGACCAGAAAAGCTACTGGGTGAGAAGTGCCCAGAATAGGAGATCATGGGATTGAAGAAAGCGGCAGACGAATGTATCATCCTTCCTGTAAAAGAAAGGGCTACAAATGTCACCTTAGCCAAGCAGGAGATAGCACTGACCTAGTAGAGACAGACTGCGAAGGAACCTGAAGCGCTAGTGATCTCTGCTGTAGACAGAAGGACGGGACAGTTCCTGTGCCTTCTGCGGCTTCCCGAAAGCCTTTAGAACTGGAGGGTTTTCCTCTCTCCTCACCACCAGTTGCTGCTGCCCTGGTTGCTGTGATTTTTCTGGGAGACCAACCACAAAGGTCCATTTCTATCACTTTCAAAATGGCCCGAGGCCACCTGGGGCCTTGAGCTCACTAGCTGGTGCTCTTGAAGTACTGGTGGGCTCAGGTGCCTCCTGTCATTCAGACTTATCTCCTCTTCCCTGGCCCCATCAGGTCTGTTTCCACGTTCTTTGATGCTGCTTTAACCCGGTGATGCCACTAGGGGTCTCACTCTGTCAAAGAACTCTTCCCTTTAGTTTGATTTGAAAGTATTGTTTTCCCTACTGAGCTTCCAGAGAAGTCTAACATTCCTGCATCCAGGAGACTCCTGCTGTTTCTCACATCTTTCCTGGGTGGCATAGGCAACAGTCTAATAATAGTCAAATCTCAGAAGTTCATGTATTCTGAATGGAACCAGAACACCCAGCCCATAGGTAACTAATTGTTCCTTTCTTCTGAGATGTGTGCTTGGAAGTATGACCAAATCCACATGCGTGTCATTAAAATGATTTTGTACTCTGAGCTCACCATCAAAAGCTATCCAATAGCTGGGTGACATTGGCCTACCATGGAAAATACTGGGTAGTTAAGGCTTTTCCTTCTGGGGTGGGAGTAGGGAACAGGAGAGAGACAGCCCAGGATGTCATACCCTCTAAACAGGGTTGATTCTCTGCAGCCCTCTGTTGGGTCTGTTTCCATGTGTTTTGAGGCAGCTGAGCTGAGGAAATAGGGATTCTGAGTCTTCAGTTTCTACTTTTTAGTCTTCCACTTGATGTGAAGCATTAACACTAGCAAGAGTAATACGAGCCACAGTAAATAATAATAGCAGCTGCCTTTTTATTGACTACTTGTTCTGTGCAGACTATGCATTCTGTACATGTTTTGTTTACATACAGTTTTAAATAGTCTGTTGATGAACCCTCCTATGGACGAGAAAATTAAGGCTGAGAAACATTAGATAAAACTGTTGCTCTAAGGAACAAAGCTAGAACTCCAGAGTAGCCAAACTTCCTTAACTTGGGCTTTCTCCCACATACCGTGCTGTCCAGAAGGTCAGATGTCGTCTTTGTCTTGACCGCATCGGCCTGCAAGTTCTGTCCTGTGTGCGTCCTTTCTCCTCTGCTTCAGTTCAACAATGTACTCAGTGTGGATTTGTTGAGCACCTCCTACGTGTCAGGCCCTCGTAGCTGTAAATGGGGGACCCAGGGGGGACGTAGAGCATTGCAACACAGCATGGCGGGGGCTACAGAGGGGAGTGTGGAAACAGAATGCCATTTCCAAAGCTCAGCTCATCTTCGTTTCTGCACCATTTCCAGGAAGACAATTGTACGTTCTTAGAGAAAATGCTGCTAGTATCCGAGCTCCCTAACTCATGAGATGCACAATAGGACCGTAAGAAGAGGTGGTATGCTCTTTTATTGCTAATACCTCATTGTCACCCGAGCTTGGTGAGCATTTAGCTGGCAAGACAGGAAGAATGATGTCCCTTTCACTCCAGGTCTGGGTGAGAGCATCTAAGCAACCCATAAAACTTGAAGGTCCTATTCTTAGGATGGTGGAGAGTTCCAGGGCTCTGCTCCTTTTCTAACTCTTTGCTGCCATCTGCTGTTCACTTAGGAATCGTGAGCATGAAGAGAAAACCGTGAATTTCTTCCCAAGTTAGGCTAGCGTTGCTTTTGGTCCTTATCCTTGGGCTCTACCCCTGCAGGAGGAGGCATGAGTCTGGAGAGATGAGACGCGAAGTCCCTGGTAAAGTAAGAAAACATAGTTTCAGGTTTCGGTTCTCCGCAAGACTCTAGGAATTTTCCTGAAATAAATGCTTGGTAGTTTTGGCAGGAGCACAAAGTTCCTGTTCCTGGAGCTCGGGTGTAGGGTATTGAGTGGGAATCCCATTCCTTCCTCTTTTCCACGGGCCTTTCATATCATCACAGGCCATATGGCCATTCTTGTCCGCAATGTTCTTTTCCCGCTCCAGCCTGGCTCTTCCTCCCCCCCCCCTCCAACTCTTTGCCTTTGGTTTCCTGGACTCAATTTCCTTTTTGTTTTTTGATTTCCCCCCCTTTATTGTTAATGCTTGTGTTTTTTTTTAATTGTATCTTGCCACATTGCAGTTGTATATGCACATAGGGCACACCGTGATGCTACATACAAGGCAGAATGCTTGACTCTGCGTATGTATAGGGTACAGAATGATGCTGAAGCGTATATGATGCAGAGGGATCGAATCATGCTAATCAAACCGCCCCTCCCTGGCCAGCAGCTCTCTACGGAACCAAGACGCCTCTGTTTTCCCCAAGGCAGTGTGGTGTGCCCTGCCCCGTGTGTTCCCTGGTAACTCCACCATCTCCTCTAGGTCATTGCTCCATCTTGACTTCAGGGGAACATGCTTTCCCCTTGATCATTCTCTTTATCACTATCACCTGCCCTCCCCCTCCTCCCTCCTCCTTCCCCCTCCCCCTCCTTTTAATTCACTCATCTCCACCTTGTGTGTGAGTGGGGGCTGAGAGGCGCCTATTCGTACCACCATGCCTGGTTTATGCAGTGCTAGGATCGAACTCAGGATCTTGTGCTTGCTAGGCAAGCAGTCTGTTAACTGAGCTGTATCCCCAGCCCTTCTCCACTCTCCTTTTCCCCACTGCGCTCACCTGCTTTCCTGTTCACTTCCGTCACGTGCCCGGAAGTCTGGGGCCCGTGGTTCATAGTGTTTCCGTGGCAGGGTTAGCAGCATTCCGAGCGACCTCTTGCGAAGAAAATGTTAGTTGCACCCCTACCTACTCACGGTTTGGCCTGTAAGTTGCACTGCTTTCCACATTCCCTTCTCTTTAGCTACCAGGGTCTTGCTTTCCCCGAGACTGCTCTGTTTGAGATAATACACTGCTACGTCCATCTCTTTGGTGGGTAACGTCACTCTTTCCAGCTTCGTGTCTTCCCACTTAGCTTGTACCACCATGATCCCTTACTGGAATTTTCCTTTCCCAAGCTCCCGAGAGTTTTCTGTCCCCCTGTTCCCTGTAACTGGGAGCAGTTTCCAGTTCCTTTGTAGTGTGCCCGGTCTTAGCCTAGAGGAGAAAATCCAGTGATTCTGGTGAAGGGCACTGAGGCCTCCCAGGCCCTATTATAATTTCCCGTCAACACCACTGCTCAGTTCTTTCGCCTTTTGCTTAGATCCTCCACACATTGCTCTTGGAAGTCATGTGGAAACCTTCCCGCCCTCTTCTAGTGTGCTGCCTACTATATTCAAACATCCTATTCTTTGTATGCTCAAAATGCTGCCCGCGCCCGTGACTGAGAACACAGAAGTTAATATAGGGCAATTCTCTAATACTTCTCTCCACTTCTTCAGCTTCTTTACCCACACCACACTGCTTCATATGTTCATGGTCCGCCTTCCATCTCAGAAGAAGAGGTCGTCCTGATAGTGGCCAGTCACACCTTTTTGCCTCGTGGGGAAACCTCATTTCTTCGGTTCTTTTTTGGGGTGGTTGGTTTTGGTTTTGGCTTTTTGAGACAGGGTTTCTCTGTATGGCCCTGGCTGTCCTGGAACTCTGTAGAACAGGCTGGCCTTGATTGCAGAGACACACCTTCCTCTGCTGGCATTAAAGGCACGCACCACCACCGCCCAAACGGTGTTTCCTTTTTCCTTCCTTCTTTCTTTCTTGCTTTTTTTTTTTTAAAAAAAAAAAACTGGTTTTTCAAACAGTTAAACCCAGCACAATTCTGTCTTTGCCTTTTCCTTCTTCTCAAGCATCTAAAAAAATTTAAAGACTTGTCCAGTCCAAGCATAGTTATGAGTACAGCTCAATTCTCTAATACTTCTCTCCACTTCTTCAGCTTCTTTACCCACACCACACTGCTTCATATGGCATGATATAAATAATATTTCCCAATGTTTACTTCTTTAGGTATGGTGATTTTTTTTTACCTTCTTCATATGAACATCTATTACTCTGAATGTAATATATGTCCCTGAATCTACTGACTTTATAAAAAATAAAATATTATTCTTAAGGCAATCCACATAATGTTCATTAAAGCATAGCATTCATTTCCTGGCTGTTTTTTCAACCCTTGAAATATATATCACGATGGAAATGATTTACAACTAGAAATCAGCTCAGGAACTGTGTGGAATACATACATCCGTTCTCTCGGAGTCTGCCTTCTCATTATTCCTTACCACAGTGCAGTCCTACGTCCCTCTTTTACCAGGATCTTCACAGAAATGCCAAAGGCTGCCAACAACCCCCGTCCAACTAACCCTAATAACCAGTCTTTATCTACCAGGAAGCCTGCTGCACTGAGCACTGTTGA